TTCAAATAAGATATTCCTTAAATGTGTTTGGTAATCTATCCAATTTTGCACTTAAAATACATTTATTGGTTAAAACTTTTCAATAAGATATGAGTTTTTGGCAATAATCAAACTGCCAAACTTAGTAAGGGGAAAACAAAGCAGGCTTCAACTTGGTAGGCTATCATGTACTTTAAGTCACCTCTTGGCTTAATATAGAATGCACACACAAAATCATGGGGCTATAAATATTTTATTACCATGTTTTGAAAGGCAGCAGTAGAGACAAAGATGGATAAGCCTGCTTTGGACAGAGGCTGAAAACACAAACCAACATCTAGATGGCTGCTGTATAGGTCAGAACATAATAGTCACAGAAGAAAATGTCAGATTGTCAAGTGAATGCTGGATATCCTTGTGTCCCAAACTGGATAAAAGGAGCAACTTTGTTCAACTCTTGTTTCTGTTTCCCATCTGCTTTAAGAGTCAGAATAGAAGTATTGATGTTCAAGATATTTTGACAGAAAGCATTTAGGAATCTAAGTATTGATTGCCATGTGATGGTTTCCAGATATAGTTACACATGTGAACTAACAGAACATTGAAATAGAAATTAGAATCACAGGCTAAAACTTGTCTTTAATTAAAATATTTTGCAAGTGTTAAATTATCCAATTTAATATTTCTAGAACTCAAAAGGATTTATTCACTCTGTCTTTTTTGTGGGAAACTTTAAAGTTTATCCATAGCTTTGCTCTAATTACCTCTCTGATCATGAAAAGGAGGGGTTGTTTCTCAGTGTTTCTGTATTTTCATTTGCAAATTGATTCAAGATGGAACCGAACACTCACTAAACTGTCTTCCGTAACTTACGTGAAAGTACCAAAACCAGTATTATTCAGGAGACTAGGATAGGATGGACTGAGACATCACGTTCAGTAGAGAAGCTTTGTTTAAATACGTGGTACACAATGACGTGGAAAGAAAGAGACAATTTCATCTTATAGTGATCAACCAGAGAATGAAAAGGTGGTGACTAAAGAGTTCCCTTCCTTGAGAAGTGATTTCTGCCAGCAAGCACACCACAGAGTGACAGCCGTGTTCCTCAACCCTGGCTGTGTGTGGAGACTTGCATTCTTCCAAGAGCTCAATCTTATATTCTTTTTTTTAAAAAAGGTTTATTTTTATTCGTGTACGTGTATATCTGTGTGTGTATGTGCGTGTGTGTATGTGTGTCATGTATTTGTGGGCGCTCATGGGGGCCAGTGCAGATGTCAGGTGACCTGGAGACAGTTGCAGGTGAATCTGTGTCACCTGATGTGGTGTTGGAAACTGAACTCGAGCCCTTAGCAAGGGCAGCCAAAACTCAAAACCTCTGAGTCAGTCACCTCCCCAATTCTGAAAAGCTGAATAATTAGAAGAAAATGCTGACATGCTTTTTTGTAGAAGCAAAAACTTATAGCTGCAATAGTTTAAGCCTAAGTTATAGAAAAAAAATTGAAATGCAAAATCATTAATCTATCCTTAACTTGTTATGCAATTATCTACCTCAGATCTCTAGCACAGTATCTCCCAACATCCCCATGTATCTTCCAGTCCATCACACTTGGCATTGTGAGGGTAGAAAAGTTTACAAAAAGACAGCGAGCATAAAGTGGGGTTCTTTGGGGCGACTATGGCCACCACATTAACTACATGTCTATGCCCTAATATAAATATAGTTTATTTTAGAATAAACTCCATTGGGTCTGGATAACTCCTTATGTTTGGATTTTAATAAAAATTCTGTCACTAATTAGTCATGTGGCTTCAAGTTATAGATTTGAATATTCATCATAGTTTCTTGAGTCTGATGATTGTTAAGGTGTGTATAAATAGCCTACACAACTACGGCCTCTCAGAAAACAAAGGTGCTTAATTCTAACTAGAACAATGATGGTGATCCTCACTTATTCACCTCTCATAGAGAACTGAGAGTGTAAGACCCGTCTGTGCTCCCCTGCCACACTTCTTTTTCTTCTAGTCATATACGGCATCAATATTGGTATTGAAGATATTTCATTATATTTTCCAACATTTTAGATGCTATCTCAAATTTAATATGTTTTTTTCTGTGCCCTGTAGCAGTTTCTAAGAATGGAAAACTCTCTAACAGTGAGCTCATTGAGTTTGGCAGTCAAATTATTCCATTTTGAAGTCTCATTTTTAAGTACCGTCTGGTACGTGCTCAGCAAGTGTCTTAGTTTCTTGTCTTGTTGATATGGTAAAATATTAACAAATGTTCGACAGAAACCACTTAGCCTTTATTCTGGCTTCTAGCTCAAGGACAGAGTTCATTATGGAGAGAGGCCAAAGCCCAAGGAGCCTGAAGAAGCTTGTCATGTTAGCCTCACCTTCAGGAGCAGGGATCAGTGGACACACGGTGTTGTTCCTTTCTTTCTTCCTTTGCTCCAGGCCAGGACCCCCTGCCCACGGGATGGTCCTACCACCATCAAGGTGGGTCTTTCTCTTCAAGATAATTCCCTAGACATACAAAGAAGCCCATCACCCCAGGTGATCCTAGATCCTGCCAAATTGACAATTAACACTAATTACCACACAATTTAAGATTTTTTATTGAATAAATGAATCCAATAGGTTAGTAAATGGATGATAATATTTACTAACTCATGGTGAAGTGTGATTCTCTAAAATGCCCCGTGTTTCTTTGCCCTTGTTTTTTATTTTTTATTTAGAATTTTACCTACCAAAAGAAACTCCTCCCCATTTACTGAGGTTAAGAAAGAGAATAGCTCACTAATCAAACACCAGACATTCCCTTCACATGTGAAGGCCGGGCTATTACGGAACATCACATGCTAACGACTGCTTCCTAAGCACAAATGTATGAGTGTGTGTGTTATGTATGACTCTACTGTCTTTCCATTACTGCCAAGAACTCCTTTGTACTGGCATTTCGGTGACATGTTTGTGCGAATGCACCCTTCCACTGTAGGCGACATTTGCTTACACTCTTGAGGAAAACCTCAAAGCAAAACAAAAACCCAAACTTATTTAAACAAACAAACAAACAAACAAACAAAAAAACCAGAGGACTCGTATGTTAGGGTGGTAGCCATAAACACAAAGGAGCTTAAAGCATCCCTCTTTGCTCACTGAAAGCAAAAATCATGGACTTAGCACCTCCCTTGCCTTTGTAGTTTGTGGTTAGAGCCTGTGTGCTTCGTGCTTTGGACACCAGGGACATCTGCACGCCGAAGCTCCCAGAAAAGCCTCCCGAAAATAGCTTTGCTGCAGAAAATGACATTTACGAACCTTGGCAGGAACTATCGTTTTAAGTCTTGTTCAGTTTCGAGACGTGGATGGAAAAATCTCCTCTGCAGGGAAGCCAGTCACACAGCATCCCGAGCTCAGTCTTTCATGAGAGCACCGAGAAACCAGCGAAGCTCAGAGTTTCGGGGTTCCAAATGTTTGAGCATGCGTTCTCGCAGGCTTAGTATGCCTCTCACGTTCTCAGGACGGACAGAAGACCGTCTGCCACACCGCAAAATATCTCTTCCGGCCCACGCTCCGCTTCACTTAGTTTAGAACAGTTTCATAAATATTGAAAAAATAGCTCCAGTTTCATCCATTTTTTCTTTCTAGAAAACCAATGTATTCCTTTAGACGTACTTTACCGTTTGAAGGAGAGGGTCCTCCCTAGGTTAGGTCTCATTGCAGCGCTCGATGCTCTAGGCCCTCGACTTTGCAGTCCGTGTTCAGGGTTCTCCTTTGGGTTGGGGGGGCGCAGAGCCAAGGCCTCCTTTGTTTCCCCGTCAGTGTGATTGACCACTGAGTAGCTCTGCTCTGTTGGCCGCATCTGAACAACAAGGGCCACACGGCTCTGGTGGTGGCTTCTGGGCCAATGAATCTTGCACAGAAACAAGAATGCGTGAGAAAATCTTCAAGAAAGTCTTCCTTGTAAGGACACCCTTTTGTCTGTTTGTTTGTTTGAATCCATGCTCTAATAGGTGGGAGTTCCTCTGATTCTGTAACACTTTTGAGTTTCCCAAACACTATTGCCTTTAGCCTACTGGACAAGAACAGATTCTAGGCTGCTTCCTCCCATGATAACAGAAACGCTGTAGCTCCTGCCTGGACTGGTAAGGGCTGGATGACGTTTTTCCTCTTGCTCACCTCCCTCCACCTTATGCTGATGCGCTTGTCCAAGACTCATTTGCCTCTCTGTGCCGTGTCAGAAAGCTGGGGCTTTCTAGTTTATATGGCAGATTTCCCCAAGTCCGCATGTCAGGAACAAGAGGCCAGACAGTTTATATGGAAACCGTCATCCTAGGAAGTGTGTGACTGTGGAAACTGCCTGTCGTACTGACCTCCATACTAGATAAATGGTAGCTGCATCTTGTCAGGCTGAAGTCACCCCAGAGAGCAACCCAGGGACCACTCTAGGGGTTTAGGTGGCCCCCTTTCTATATTTCTATTTTAAGCAAGAAACTTCTTCCTGGAGGGGAATGAGTAGAACCATTTTAACAGAGAGTGCTAGGCAAGGTCTGAAGCATGTTATAATGTTTCAAGAAAAACCAACGGTTAATTTCATTCAAATCTTGCTTTGCAGTGGGAACTTGTGCTATGCTTTACTGAGCAGCATAGGACAGTCTGTAGAATATGTTGAAATTGAAAAAGTCTATCATCTGGGAGAGCAGTACCAGCTGTGTGAGCAGAGAACATTGATTCTGGGTCTTTGCAAGCAAATATGCCGTCCAGCCACTTGTCTCTCTGTAGGGATTAGAGACGAAGGGGCCAGGAAGTGAGATTTTCAGATGTGAGTTGAGCAAGATGTTAGTAAATCTTCCACAAGATTTTGGGGAAAATCGAACTGTTGGGCCTCTCTGATTCCCCAAAACTTATATCAGGGTATGGTCACCACCAAAATCAATGAGTGGCAAGGCGTTGTCCATAAATCATCATGAGAGCACTGTCGTGATTGGATGGTTGTCATAGAAACTGTCTTTCTTGTCCCGCAGCCTCCTCCTCAGATATACGACAAACAGCTGGACGAGCGGGAGCACACCATTGAAGAATGGAAAGGTGAGAGCTGCGCTGTGTCACTACGTACACTTTGCTTCCCTGGAAGTCAGAATACAGAGAGCATCCTGTTAGTCCATACAGAGAAAGTCCCTGCACCTTCCTCTTGCACAGCACTTGCTTGAGAAGTGATGTTGCGTTGTCTGTAACTGGGCCAGTGCTGGAGCTCCACCCGTGTCTGCCCAGTATATACTGTGTCTGAGTTTAGTCTCATAAATGAATGAAAAAGAAAATACTTTGAAATTACCTAAAGTTTATCTCTTTCATGTTAATAGAAAAATTCTATTTTATGTAGACTAAAAAGAACCTAATCATGTACACATTTGCAAAATAGTATTGATTGCCAAAGTGTTTGTCATGAGGTCAAACTTCATTTACTATTTAAAAATTAAGCTCCTATGTTTGTATATTAAATTTAAATTAAGTTTGGTAGCTCGAGTGATGGATCAGTGGAGAGACTGCTAATCCTGAAAATCCTCATTTAATCTCTGGACCACACGAGGAAGGAGAGAACTAACTTCCATAAGTTCTTCTCTGACTGTCTCCCAAATACACAAAACATAATCTAAAAATAAGTTTGAAATGTACTTCAAGTTTTAAAAACTAAATAAAGTTAATACATAAATTATTTTACAAAATTTACCAGCTTTGAGAGTTTAAGTAGAATATATGTGAACCCAGGAGGCTCATTTTTCACCTAAATAAAAGCAAATCAGTGAGTCTATCATTCCATTTTTTCAGTGAAACTTCTCCAAATGCATGCTTTAGCTTCAAACTTATCCTGAGAGAGACACAAAAGAGAAAAAAAGAGTTAGACCTACAAAGAACTGTTAAACTAATTTAATCACCCACAGAGAAGAATAAATTTAAGGAATCTGAATGCAGATGGTGTCTCATGGTCAAAATAAAATGAGCAGGAACAAAAGAGAAAGGAAATTTTGAGCAACTTTTAAAGAACTCATCGTACAAGCTGGGAAAAGGAAAATACCAGACGGAGGACACAAGGAGAAACCAATGTTAGAAAGAGGCAGAGGGTCTTAGGAAGAGATGCCACTGGTCACAGGACCGTGTTGATGAGCATGGGAAACAAGCCCATGAGTGGCACCAGGGAGAAACTGAGGGCAGATGGTGGGTACAGAAGGGTGGCAGCATTGGGGCTTACTAGGTAGCCAGAGAGAAGATGTAGCCAAGGCGAGCAGGGCGCATGCTAAACTAGAGGAAAATGTACCTGTGGAGGATGGTGGTGCATAAACCATTGCAGGAAAGGCGTAGTGGCCTGAATGATTTTCAGCTAAGTCTGGCAACAGAAAGAACTAGAGCTCTCAAGGCTAAGACAAGAAATTGGCTGCCAGTCTGGGGATGAACAAGATGGTTTTTTAATTCTTAGGTTTCTGTTGTGCTTGGGTTTACAAGTCCAAGGTGTAAGTCTGGAAGGAAGATAGTATTAGAAACGGAAGCTGTAGGGATTGATTATGATGTAAAGCTCATAGGATTTGCACGGAAGAAGTTACTATAAAAGGAAACAAGAGCATCCCAAAGTGAAGGCACTGGCTGGGAACACAGTCCAGGGGAGGGTAATTTCCTAGCACACACAAGGCCTTGGGTATGAACCCCAGTCCTGCAAAAGCCACTCAAGAAACAAGCCTGCAACGTTATTTAAATCATTGTACTCAGGAGCCATCGCGATCAGTTCAGAAAACAGTAATGTATTTATTTGCTTATCTGCTGTATCAAGGACCTGCTTTTGCTAAGCTTCGTGCTCAGTGCAAGGAATTATAGAAATGGAAGATTGAACGTCCCCAGTGATTTAATAATCTATTCAATGCCACAGAAATGTTAATTGTCTTTAGTCAGTGCATCTGTTTATAGATTAAGGAAGTCTTTGCTTTTCTGTTAGAATAACTCAGACAACTGTTTCTTACAGAACTTATCTACAAGGAAGTAATGAACTCAGAAGAAAAGACTAAAAACGGCGTGGTAAAAGGACAGCCCTCCCCTTCAGGTACTCGCTCTCTGTGAATGACCACAAACCCAGTACTGTGTGTTTTCCTGGCCTATGAGGGCAAGTCACAGACAAAACTGCTTACAGAGTCTGGGAACAGTGATGTCACATGACAGACTATGCCCTATGTTGCATTTATCTTTCTCTTTTCAAACCATACGCTCATTCTGGGAATTCTAATTATAATAACCAAGCATGCTGTTTTTTTTTTTAAATAACACTTTTATTTTTGAGATTATAGTATAATTACAGTATTTCTCCCTTCCTTTGCCTCCCTCCAAGCCTCCCTGCTCTCTTTCAAATTCATGGCCTCTATTTCATTGTTATTGCATGCTTATATGTATACGTACATGTATGGGGTATGTTGTATATATACACAGTCCCAAACCATACACAGCTCGGTCTATATCATGTAACTTTTATGTACATGTTCAGGGCTGACCATCTGGTATTGAATGCCCAATTGGTGTGCTCTTCACTGGGGAAGACTCTTTCTCCCACTCAGCAAATGTTCTATATTCCTGGCATCTCCAGTTTCCCAGGGTCTCTATTTCAGCCCAGGCTTCACCTGCACAACTTCATGTATTACCTCTTCGTGCTGTGTATCACCCTACCTCTCTGGCCTTTTTTAAAAATATTAATGGAAACCATTATGATGCCTTAATTCCTGAATTCTACATACCTAAAATATTAGCACCCTCAGGATGATACTATGGTCTGGTGACATCTGGAACACATCTGGGACTCTGTGGACCTACCGAGCATTTCTGATTTCTGGAAAGACACTTCCCTGGTTGGCCCTGTGTGAGCTTAGCACCAGACGTACCCTTTCTCCAGGGAAAACCATCAAGTGAATTTACAATTCTATAGAGCATTGGTTCTCAATTTTCCTAATGCTGTGACCCTTTAATACAGTTCCTCAGGCTGTGACCCCCAATCGTGAATTGTCTTCATGGCTACATCATAACTACAATTTTGCTAATGTTAGAAATTGTGATGCAAGTTTCTGTGTTTTCTGATGGTTTTAGATGACCCCTATGAAAATGTCATTTGACCCTAAGGTGGTCTCGACCCACAGATTGAGAACCAGTGCTCTAGCTCCTGGGCTACATGGGGGTCTGACCATTTTCTGCATTTCTCAAGCAAATTCAAAGTCTTTGGCTCCCTTTCACTGTGTTTGTTTTTAAAAACTATTTACAAGTTTCAGCTCACTTCTTTTCTGGCCAGACTACACATAGTTAAAATATTCCTGTTCCACTATTTCCCCCTGATTATCACTTTAAGGTTAAGCATCCAGCAAGAGCCATGCCACAGCCTGAAGGCCAGCTTATCTTGGCATTAGGATAGCTAAATTAATTAATTACTTTTCAGTGATCATTCATAGTCTCAGGACACAGACAAAATTATAGACAAATTATTTGTGAGACCATGACTCCAATGGCCCCAGGTCAAAATTCTGACAGAGCCCCTGTGCCATAAGAAAGCAGATTTATTTCCAGCATTTCTGTCAACATCCCATCTTCCCTGCTTACAATGCTCTTTGTGTTCTTCAGACTGGGTCTCCAGACACTTAAAATGCCTCTGGTCAACCAGTTCCACTCGCCTAACCACACAGTCAGGTTCCTGACTGGGGAGCAGAGAACGGGGTACCCAGAAGCTGGGGAGCAGAGAAAGGAGCACGCACTCATCTCAGAGTGTTCAGTCCAGCATGAGGATCCATGCCACAGCGGCTGGGAACAAAGCATGGGATACCAAGCAGTTGTGGAGCAGGGAACAGGGTGCCCAGCAGCTGGGGAAGCAGAGAACGGGGTGCCCAGCAGCCAGGGAGCAGAGAACAGGAGTGATAACTCACCATCTCAATGTTCTGTTCAGCATGAGGACCCACATCACAGCAGCTGGGGAGCCGAGAAAAGGGGTGCCCACACTCTCTGCTCTCCTCTGCTTTCCCTTTTATTCTTTCCTAAGTCCCAGTCCATGAGACGGAAATACTTATATTCTGGGTATCCTCCTTATGCATACAGTCCTGACAAACAAACCAACAACAATCAAAACACCCTTACAGTTAGCTACACCAAGAGGTGTACCTCAGCATCCAGGTTAGTCTAAATCCATCCAATTTCTCTGTAAAGATTGTCCCTCTTTATTGGTGAAGAGATAAAGGCCACGGTCACAGTCCCCTTCTGCCCCTCCTTAGTTGCTCTGGGACTGGGCTGACAGAATCTGCAGAAGCTGTTTCTTGGACACATGCTCTGTTGGCTGCTTAGGGAAGAACTCACAGGCAGAATCTAACAGGCTTGAGGTAGAAAGGATCCTGTAGAGTTGCAATCACTGTGACACGTTTCCACATGGTCAATAAGAGGGTAGAGCGGCCGTATGTGGCGAGGGAGAAGCTCACATCTCAGGCTGGGTGGACATGGGTTTGCAGAACTGGTTTCAGTCATCTTTGCTTCAACTTATTTTTTTTCCCACACCACCCTGTCCAAGGAGAGCTTTCATGATTTCCCCAGATAAGAGCTTCCTGCCTTTTCTACTAAATCTTGTGTTGCAAACATGCACACTTTTCTTATTATCTTTTATTAATTAAGAGTTCATTGAGACAACTGTATTGAGAAATTGTGACCATACAGGGTCTAAGTGCTCTATCTCAGTAAATATTTATTATGTGTAAAATTGGCATTTAGTTCTCTCTCTCTCTCTCTCTCTCTCTCTCTCTCTCTCTCTCTTTCTGTGTGTGTGTCCACACGCACACACACACACACACACACACTTCGAAGACAGAACTCAAGACAGGATTGTTGAGTTAATGGCGTACACAATTAAGTCTGTTCTTACACCACAATTATACGTATTTATATGCCCTGTTAATCTTCTGAAAATGGGTGAGCTGAGTTACTAATGTAGGCAGTAGTAATTAGGACATTTTCCCCATTTTTCAGATAAGGCTTTCTGGTTTTAAAGGTGATAGTTTGGCTCATTTGTTTTGGAAAATGTACTTCCATAAACCTTCATGTGGGCCTGAGTAGTATAGTGTCTGAGTAGTTATTTTTAAAGAAAACCATTAAGTTAACCTTGTGAGAAAGTTAAGACCCTTTTAACCATTCCAACTACCTGAACCAATCAAGAATTGCCCAATTTTACATGTTCTCTATCGTTAGCAAGCTATTTATAGCTCAAATAGCCATATTAGACATTATACCGAAAAATTTTAGAGTAAAAATATTTTGTTAATTATATGCATTCTATCTTACATGACACATTCATGTATAATCTATTTGTGTGTGTCACGTGGAGACTGGATAGCAGCTGGAGCTGCTTCTACCAGCTTGTGTGAATTTATTGATCTCAGATTGGCAGCTTGAAGCTAACCAGGGAAGATTTACAGCATGGAAGCTTGCAGAACCCACAAATCATAGTGGTTCCCCCTAGAGGGCAAACTGTTGATTTTTTATCTGTATGTCACTGCATGTGTGTATTTACTGCGCATGCATGTGTACCTGCACGTGCAGACATGTACATGTGTGTTCATAGCATTTTGCTTTGTAAGAAGCCAGGATGAAATAGTTTTATCATATAGTTTCACTTTGATAAATAATCATCTTTGAAAACACAAGGAATCTTATATAAGGAATAAGTTAATGTCCCTCTTCAGGAACAAAGTAGTTCAAATCATATAGTGGTGATTTTAAAATGTAGCTAGGAAGTTAAGTGCACACTCAAAAAATAATTTATAGGTCTGAAATTTATTGACGGATTCATCATATATCAATAAAAATTCATCTAAACTTCAGATATATCCCTAAATAATTGTACCCCCTTCTGCTATCTGATTTTCCCTACAGAGCTATCTGCCTTCAGTAGTGGCACCATTTGCTTCCTGAATTGATTTGTAATGCCTGCCAAGGGAAAGCAGGAGCAGGCATCCATTTTTCTCTGGAAGCAGATGTTACACACTGCTAGCACTGTAACACATGCAGGAGGTTGTGTGCACCGGCGTCCCTCTTCCTCCTGAAAAGTGACCTGCCCTAAGCAGGTAACTGACTCGCAAAGAGGGAAGGATGCTTTGTCAGAACAGGCAGAGGTTTTTCAGTAGCTCGTCAAAGACGAAGCTTCCCAGGTGTTCTGAGTGTTCAGTCCTTACTTCTCAGGTGCTCAGTCTTCTCCATCCTGGGAGCACATCCCCCCCTCCCCAACTCCCGTCAGGCAGTGGTCAGACTACTAAGATTGATTGATTAAGGAAAAAAATTCAAGCTCAAATAACCTGAGGTTCAAGATCTTGCAGCTACCGGAGAACCTGTCCCTCAATAATTATTTTTTCCCTTTAGTTCTTCCTCTTTGTATTTACGTTTTCATTTGTGATTGGGAAGATGTTATCAAGAAAATAATTCCCATTTTAAAAGCAGCGACCAGTGAATAGATAACTTCGGGCCAAAAAATTTCCATTAATTATTTTATTCCATGAAATCATTTTTCCAATTAAAGCTGCAAGTAGCTAATAATCCTGATTTGTAACACTATTAATATTTTTGATTCATTTAAGCCCCATTTCATTGAGAAATTATAATACTGCACTGATGACAATTTAAAAATTGTATCTCTCTTCTGAGTCCTCTTGAGTGCTGCAGGAGAAGGGGGTGTTTGTCATGTGCTGGGATGTGCCCGAAAGAAGGACACTGTAAACAGATATGATATAGCTCAATCTGTTTAAGAGAGTTTCATAAACTCCTTGGTAATAAATTAACGTGAGCCAAAGTCCATGTTCTTATTCCTTTTACTTACTTGAGTTTGGTTTTATGCCTTACAAAGTCCATTTATTGGCTACTTGTAAACATCTCATAGCCAGAGGGTCTGGTGTCCAGCCAGGAGACGCTCACTGTAGCTCAGTAGAGGACACACACAAAGGCAAACTCATTCATCTCACTGGAATGGGGTCATTAGTGACCAGCATCCATCTCTAAGAAAGGTGATTAGTGACATTTATTAATATGGCATACATATGTAACTAATCTCAAGGAACCAAGGTGATACAAAGGCAGGTACAAAGGGATGCTGAGGATTGGCTTTAAGACTTACTAAGATCCTGCACCAGGGTACCACTGGCTAGTCCACATCCTGCTTTCTTCATCACTTAATCTGCTTAATTTCCAGCCCACTAGTATTGAGGTTTTTATACAAAGAAATTAGATGTGTTTCTGTACACTAGCCATGAACAGACAACAAATCAGTTTAAACTATCGCCATGAAGAAAAAAACTTGTAGCTATAACTTCAGTAAATGAAGTGCAAACTTTGTACTTGGGAAACTATGAATATTGAAAGAGTTAAGGTGACCTAAGTAGATGAAAGGCTCTCGGTCACTCTCTACTTTCTTGGATGGGTAAGGCTGGTCTTCCCCGGGGTGGTTTATTGGACAGTCAGTTAAAAAAAATCAGTGGGTTTTTTTTTTCCAGAAATTTCAAAAGTTATCTTAAGATTCAAACGGAATAGCCTAAATAATCCTGAGAGAATACAGTTGGAAAATTCGCATTTTTCTGATTTGCATTCTATTTGAGGAAGCTGCCCGTAGGAGAGTAGACTGCCATGCTCACTTTCAGAAACAGTTTTGTGCTTCCTCAAATAGAATCAAGTCAATAGAACTCACAGAGAGTCACTCAGTACCCAAGGACTATGAAAACACAGCCATACCAAGTGTCCATATGAACGTTCATGACAGCATTGGGGCAGCATGATTCATAATGCAGTATTTAGCAAATGCACATCAACCAGGAAGTGAGTAAGCAGAATGTGATGTGTGGGGTGATGGCTGTTATTCCACTATAAAGGTACGGAATGCTGGCATGCCATTTAAGCTTCCTCTCTGAAGATGTATTTTGCTTTAAGCAGTTTGGGATAGAAGCCAGTAATGTTCACACTGTATGCTTCCGTGTATGTGAAGTGTTCAGAATGCACAAAACCACGGAGGACAAAAGCTGCTGAGTCCTGCAGGGACAGTTCAGCCTGTGACGATCTCCGTTCTACCTCCCAAGCCCCCGGGAAAAGCTGGACACTGGGGTACATGCTTGTGAACCCATTCCTGGAGAGGTAGAGGAAGGAGAATCTTTAGGACCTGCTGGCCTGCTGGTCAGGCCTACTTAGTGAGCTCCAGGCCAACGAGAGACTCTGCCTCAAAAAGCAAGAGGTGGACAGTGCCTGGGGCATGACACCTGAAGTTGTTCAGTGGCTTTCATGTGTACATGCAAACATGTATGTACACACATTCACAAGTGTATTTTCTCACACAGGGGTGCACCTGGGAGGCAGAGGCAGGTGGATCTCTCTGTGAGTTTGAGGTTAGCCTGGTCTAAAGATCTAGTTCCAGGACAGGGCAAAAAAATCTTGCCTGAAAAACAAAATAACTAACTAACTAAATAAATAAATTTAGTCATTAACTTGGGCACTGGTGCACACTGAGGTTTCTTTAATGTATTCCTCATAGTTTATAGAAGCATTTTACAATAATCAAATAAAGCTGTAAGTGTATGCAAGTATAAGAAGTTGTGTGGAGTTAAATGTTTGAAATGCCCTCTAGTTACTTTTCCATTTTTATGGCATTTTCCCATAAAATATCTGCTGTTGGAGCACATCCTTGAAACGCTTCCTCCTCTTGAGTTTGTCCTGCTTTCCAAGTCTGTGTGACAATTCATTTGTCCCTCACGTTAGCTATAGTCTTACCGCACAGATCCTTCACACGATTGCTTCTCCAGTGTGACATTTCAGTGGGAAGTTTTCCTTCTTACAGGTTGGTTAAGCTACAGGTTTGAACAGCAACCTCTTCTACAAAGCACACAAAGCACACACTTCATTAACACACCACCTAGGCATCAAGAACATAGAAATGGGGAAGTCAGGAAACTGGCTGTTTTCAGGTTTCTGTGGTTTAATTTTGCTTTCTGGTGCCTTTGGCTCATCTTTGCTTCGCCGTTCTAAGTGCCTTCCCAGAGTTCCAGAGTCTCATAGCCAGATAAAAATGTTTTCAAATGAATAACCCAATATTTGCAGACCCCAAGCGAGCCAGTCTGTTGAAGGAAACCCGAACTTAAAGGTGCACACTGCCTTAGTTTTCGGTTTTCTCTTTATTGACTTCTCTCAAAAGGTTTGGCTTTTATACATGGCTTTACCTTTTGGTATTATATTTAATGATTAACTAATTAATGCTCTGTTTTATATACTTTCATTTTCCTAGAGCTGTAGTCATTAAAAAATACCCAGGTCACTGGGCTTCGCCTTCACCTGTTTCTGGGCTAAGACCATTGCTTGTGTTTCTTTTTCTTCTTCATGAGGAACATCGGGATCAGGCTGCTCCATTAAAAGACTTGATGCTTCTCTCATCTGCATAACTTAGTGACTTTCTGTCCCTGGATGCCTACAGTCTCTGTGGTCCTAATTAAGGATGCAAATGCCTTGGCTTTAAGCAAGCTCTGTTACTTGACAGCGCTGTGGAATTTAGGGTTGGGACAGAGCGACTGGTGATTCCTAACTTGGAGTGGAATTTGATAACCATTAGCCTGTGGATAAATGTGGTCTGTGATGGGGATTCTGAGTTGTTCGGTCTGATTTTCACCACCTAACTCAGTTTTCAGTTTCCGGTGTCAGTACTGTTGTAGTTTAGAAAAAGCAGCGGGAGAAAGACCTGCCATGCGACAGAGCTCAGGTGGAGGGATTTGTTTTTAATTGGGGAAAGTGAATGGGAAAAGGAGAGGGGAGATGAGACTGGCCTCTGGGGACAGGAGAGAGAGAGAGAGAGAGAGAGAGAGAGAGAGAGAGAGAGAGAGAGAGAGAGAGAGAGAGAGAGAGAGAGAAGAGAGAGATGGGAGGTGGGCAGGGCCTTAAAAGTTTAACAACTAAATGTGTTCAGGTGGTGCTCTTAGTGGCTACAGCTGAGGACATATACCCACGGTCAGGCCAGTATAGATAAATGCTGGAATACTAACAAGTTACGTGAGGGCTCCCGGCATAGAGATGTCTTCTTGTCTGCTCCCATCCCTGTGCTCTGACTAGCACTTACAAGGGTCTAGTTCCAGATTTAGTCATGTTGGTCTTCATTTTCTCAGCACAGGTGCAGCAGTGAACAGCAGTGAGAGTCTCCCTCCATCCTCGTCTGTCAACGACATCTCCTCCATGTCCACCGACCAGACCCTCGCATCCGACACTGACAGCAGCCTGGAAGCCTCGGCAGGACCGCTGGGTTGTTGCAGGTGACTAGCCGCCTGCCTGCGAAACCCAGCGTTCTTCAGGAGATGACGGGATAGAACACAGCACACATGCACACACACACACACACACATGGTTCGCACACACATATGCATACACAAAGACACTCTCACACACGCACAGACGCACACACGCAATGTCAAGAAAATAGCAAGAGAGAGATCCAACCTGGAATTAGGATAAATCTTTCTGCCTGCTTCTCCAAAGTTCTGTATCACAGCTAAGCCGAAATGTATACTTAACTTCTAGTAGCTCTCGCTTCGGTCTCCTTCCAACAGTGCTTACTACACAGAACAAACCAGACACAATTAGAGAAGTCTTTCCCCAAAGTGTAACTTAAGTGGCTGCAGAACCAGCAACCCGTAACTGCCCTTCAAATGGCATGACAAGGTGTGCAGTGGCCCCATCCAGCATGTGTGTGTCTCTATCTTGCATCTACCTGCTCCTCTCGGCCTAGTCAGATGGGTGTAGATACAGATCTGCATGTGTCTGTATTCATACGGCACTTCTTAGAGATGCTCCTGTCAGTGTCCTCAGGGCTCCTACCAAGACACCGTGCACTGGGGTACCACCTGGTCCATTCCATGTGATCTATTACTCCGACATCAATCCATCTGTAATATATTGCCAGTATATAAGCTGTTTAGTTTGTTAATTGATTAAGCTGTATGTCTTATAAGAAAATATGTAAAGGGGGAGGGACATGGGAGAGTGAACTCAGACCCTTCAAGATGTAGCTTCCGAATCTGAACCGATTAAATGGCACCTGTATACCAATTTGTAGAAAGAACATATGTGACGCTTACGTACAGTGTGGGGGGAGGGAGGGAGCAGTAGCTTCCAGATGTCAACGAGCTTGGCCTTCAGGAGGACTGTGTGAGTCAAGGTTACAGTCTCTGGCGATGGATAAATAGCAGGGACTTGAGCACAGGCTAGACCATGCTCTGTATTGCTGCAGTATAGACTGTGGGTGAAAGGGAATTGCTGCCCAGATACTGGGAGACACCAAAAACCCATGTTTTAAAGATTAGACACCATTTGTCATTTTAAAATGATGTCAAAAGATAAAGCTTCTGGAGAAAGGGGAAGGCAGAGAGGCGGCATCATTGTGCACACACCCAATGGTAAAAGCCTTTGCCTGAAACGGTGGAATTCCCTCCGTGTGATATCCTTCAGAGAGGATAGCCCTGCCTAGACTAATTCGAGATTGTGGGGAATGTTTTCCATGTGCGGGCTGCTTCCCAGAGTCATCCCTGCCAATATTTTTGTTTTCTTTCCTGGACTAGACTAGAATAAAACAAAATGGGATCCCCAAAGCCAGGGTGGTCTTCAGGACGGCATCTCTAAGTATCTACATGGAAATGATTGTCCCTCTGAGGGGTTGTCCCTCATGGGGGCTTTTCAGACTCCTTGATATGACTGGTGTTTCATACTTACTGACTTATTTTCATAGATATGTGTAATTTGAGAAGGGCTGAAACCTGACTTTTGTATTGCTGTAGATCTATGAGAGCAATAATTCTGTGCCAACGCAGCTCCTACTAGCTAGCATTAGAAAAGACTTTGTCTTACAGTCATGAAACATTAACGTGTTTAGCAAAATCATCTGACCTTAGCTGAAATTCATGGAAGATCCCACCTGAGCACTCTTGGAGGCGCTACCAACCATCGTGGTTATATACCGGGCAATGCCGGTGCGGTTTCTGAGCAATAACAGGCACCAGGCCCCGCTTCCCTCTTCCTTCCCCAAGTGAAGCATCCACCACAGCTCTTTGCACTCTGGCCATTTTGGTGCTAACCCCTGTGGTGATATTTCACCCGGAGAGGAAGTGAAACGTGCGAGGAGGTGAATGTGACTGGCCTGGCCAAAGGGAAAACCCCCAAGTATACAGAGTAAACAGCAGCGTTGGAGCTCTGCAAACTGCCTTAAATACAACACCAGGGAAGCCCTTATCCTCTCAAGCAATAGAATCAGTTAGGAACTCACTTGCCCAAACACTGCACACGTGTGCACACCACATTGTAGGGCTGCTCTTCCTGGGACTGCTTCTCCAGCACGTTTCTTTGCAAGATGTGGTACTGAAAAGGAGGGTGGAGGGAGGGAACTAGCTGTCTTGAGAGCTCACTTGCAGCTCATCCCCTGCTGCAAGTATCTCAGTCTCTGTCCTTTCCCCATGCTTTTTAGTGAATGTTGATGATCTTTATAAATGCCGATGAATTTTTACAACGTCTTTCATTTTCCCCTCTGCCATCTTTTGTCCTTTTTAAAACTGTATCTGTATCCCTATTCTGCTCACCATTCTCTGAATTTTGCATTTACGCCTGTGATATGCACCCCTCCAGTCTGTATGACACCAGATTAATGTAAAGAAGGGACAGTGGGCTTGGAAGAAGCAAGTCTCGAAGGGCATTCCATGGGGCACAAGATGGCATAACGGACTGGCAGGGTTCCCAGCAGAAGGGCAGGAGAGGCGGAGGAAAGCAGGCACAACAGATCGCCTCCCAGCTCCTCTGGCTGGCCTGGGTGCTCCTGTCTGTCTGTTGGTGTATGGCCTTGTCCGGCTGAGGACCCTTATGCAGAGATTCCCCCACGGAGAAGAAAAGACAAAACAAGTCCCTTGGGTTTTCAAAAGCCCATCCAAGTGGAGATGGGGACCGGGATCCTGGATTCCGTGCAGGATTGGTTTTAGCGGATGGAAGGAGAGATGGAAGGCGGAACAACAAAACAGGCCACCGTGTTGGAAGTTTTCCCTTCACCGTCGGACCCCCTGTTATTCTCGCTCTTTGGCCTGGTTACACTCTGAGAAATTTCGCAGTGTGCATTGTGCTCTTCACTGGGTATTCTGAGGGGGAAAAAAATTAAGCAACTGGAAAACCAAATATTTATTTGATGTGGCCACCTATTACTCCCGAGGGTGTTCTTATTTGGGGGGCAGGAAACTGTTTAAGGAGACCTGGACTGTATCTGGGGGAGAACTGAAGGAGCTATGAGTGTTCGCATCAAAACAGGAAGTTGGCATTCTAAGGACTGGAGCATCTGTGCTTCCATGGTCAGCTGAGTAGACAGTGGTCCCTGCTGTGTTCCGTGGCATTCTGTAGAAAGGACAGGTGTGTACCCCTGAACTGGAAGAACTGGATTGCTACCATGTTCTCAATTTCTTGGCTACTTTAGGGTGTATTTGGTGGGTGAGTGTACTCGTTTTTCCAATGGGATACATTATAGCACAATTGTTTCTTGTTCAATAAAGATTGAAAACAGTCCCTCATCCCTCAAACTCCAGTGTTAGAACTGCCTAGGTCCGTGTCCTGCCACTGTGCCAGGATTTGGCCAAGCCCCGTCGTTGGAGGAGACTTATTCGATTGATGGCTTCACACAGTCTGCTATCCCTATCAGAACAAGTATTGTCTAAAGACACTGACAACAACTGGCCAGAAAGTGAGAAACTTGTTCATAGATCACAGAACAAATGGAAGGCATGAAAATACATAAATCCATTCATGATCTGTAAGTGAAAATGAATAAATATAATTTTAGAGCTCTTAAATATTTATTGTATAGTCCAGGTTATACAGAATCTATTTGTTTCATTTTCTTAGCAAGTAAGAATCTGTGCCTGGAAGAAATCCACTGGTTTTGCTGAAAGAGATAACATCTGTGGTTCAGAGACAGGAGGGAAAATGTTTGGGGGAATTCTGATCCCCGCTTCTCTGGGTTTAAAGCAAAACCGCTCCCAGTACGGCAGTGCTCCCACCCTCACAGACACACACACACACACACACACACACACACGTTTTAAATACAAGAGACCAACATTTTCTACACTTATTGTTGGATAAGGCCATCTTATTTGAAAGAAAGACTAAAGAACCTAAAAATTTATAATGTAAATAACAAAACCAGTTATTTTCCTTGTGATTAAATATCAATTCTATTTCTTTGGGCGCCCAAACATGTCTTTAACTGTTAGTTCACTTCAACCCATTGCTTTTGTCAAAACACAGTGAAAGGCTTCTTTTACATGTGAACCCCTGTTTATTTAATTTTTGATCAGTGGGACCAATGGCCAGTATATCCCAGCAGGAGCAAACTTCCTAGCCTGTGTATGCCATCACTGGTCCACCTTGCCATGTCCACCTTGCAGTGCCACCTGCCTTGCCTCTGCCTGTTGTTCTGCATGATTGGACTCCAAAACCACACCCGATGAAGAGAGTTGTCCTAGATCAGTGTTTTTGAAATGTATCTAGAGCGCACATGCACATAACATACTTATATATTCTCATGTGGTTCTTTGTCAACCTGGAAGCCAAAACCATGTATGTCTGATTTCTTTGCATAGTCTCAGAGGTGAGACCTCTTGTCAGTCACATGCTAGATACACTGTGCTCTCAATGGTATCTAATATGGATCAAAACCAATCAGTCCATTCCTGTGTTCTTTCTCGTGTTCTTTCAGTTCCATTTTTTTCTCTTATTCTAAATGTGTCTGTTGGGAAGAGCATGAGTTGGAGAACTTTGGCATCTATTGACTTCCCAGGTGGAATCACGTCAACACATTGTGATTTGTATGTCTTATGGAAGTTCGTGTCCCTTCTCATAAAGCCAATTGAAACCTTGACTCTGTTGGACTTTCCTTTTGGCAATGCGTGTTGCTCGCTCTGCTCTGTTTTCCCACACTGCCAGAGCTATCAAGGGCTTCCAAGATTTCCTTCTGACCCCTCTGAAAGAAACTTGAGGCATGGTCAGGTTGTACCACAGAGTAGATAAGAAGGAAGAAATGGTCTTCTTCTCGGCCTAGAGAAAGCAGGTCAAGTGGCGTGTTTGTGCTTGAGATTCATTCATTCCAGAAAGGCCTCTGCTCCCATGGGCAGACACTGGTGTTGTGGCCACAGTTCAGGAATAGCCAATAGGATAACAATGAACAAAACATTGGTAAGCAGATCAAGGTTACATATTTTTCAGATTAATCAACAAATGATCCAATTGTAACTTTGTCTAAGAGATTAATTTTGTCTACACCATTATCTGACACGTCTTACTGAATTTAAGGATGTGAATGACAGCTTGGTGGAGTTCACCGAACCTGTCACGCTCCCCTGGCAATGTCTGAACGGTATTGAGGAGCGGCCTGCATATTTCTGTGAACAATACATTTTGCTTGTTCAATTAATAAAGAGCTCGAAAGGCAGACATTCCCATTATTATTTTTTCTTTTATTTAGAGAAAATGGAAATGAAAAGCTGTTTATTGCCTTTGCAATGACCCTTATTCTATTTTCTAATTATTTTAATTTCTTCTTTTTTTTATTAATTTTATTTGAGAGGGAGATGCATAGAGGTTTCTTCCTGAGTAGGCCAAATGATCCTGGTACATGCAATCCCCCTGCCTCAGATTCCAAGCTTGTTCAACTATGCTTGACTGCCTATTCTGACTTCAACCCACAACTCCTTACTTTTTTTTTTCATTGAAAGTGACCAAACATACAAATCTATAAATACACATAAGAGTAAAAAGGGAAAATTCATTCTTCATGACAGTTTCCCAAAGAGAGCAAATCGTTTGTCTGAAAACATTACCCTATATTTGATCGTTATGATAAAGTTTGCAGTGAGGCAAGGTGAAGGTTATTGAGCAGTGTTTTCGTGGAGAGACTAATGAAAAACCCAGTGTAGAGGGATGAATCGGCTTGCTCAATAATGATTGTAAAGAAGGTAAAGGATGTTTGCCTTACCAACCAGCTCAGAACTCATTGCTGTGATTTATACATGTAGCACTCCCTCCCAGGTTCCCCCCAATAATGTTTGAAAGGCAATGCCTGGAAGAAGCGTCCAAACAGTGGTACACAGGATGTCCCGTGTCTCAGGTCTATTCAGGCCTGGCACCTCTGCACGGTTCTTCCCTTTCCGTTCCAGATGGGGGTCCGTAGGCTCAGCGTCTAAAGCCACTGCAATGAAGTACAGGAGTTTATACGTCTCAAACACAGGAAAGATAGGGTGCAGACAAACAAGAATCAACCCTTCTGTCGAATGTTTCTTTTTAAAAAGGTATTCTATCGGTGTGTAAAACTCGAGAATAAATAAGTCTAGACTGCTAAATAGAGGATTTGAGTTTGCTCAGTAGAGTGGTGAGTTCTGGTATTGTCCTCCAGTCCACCTTGCTCAAAGTCTTTTTGCTCAAACAATAGTCCATATTGTTCGCCTTTCAATAACATATATTCAGTGTCTTTGTGTTACACACCCTCTGTAATCTGCTTAGAAGACTGGGTCTTTCATTATGTGGTTTTCACTACAAATGCTAAAGTCCATGTTCGTGCAAGCATTGTCTACAAACAAATACGCAGAAAATAAAGTTCTACAATGCTAATAGCATTTCACACAGTTGAAGGAACTAATGATTTGAAGGAAGACACTTGGAGGCAGTCACATGTTCCTTAATGGGTTGGTAACTTGAATTGGCATAAATTAATCTCTGAGAAGGTTATTTTGAATTTCTAGTTTAATTTCTGGGCTACATTCTAAAGTATTTCATCAGTCCATGCCTAACACATTTATTGAGTGGTTCGGGTAGAAGACAAATGTATTATGATTTTTATCCTCAAAAATGCAGTCAATAAACCAATGTCTAAAAATAAATGGTCAATGCAGAATACCTTACTTATTTATCTTCTTTTAAAACAACAATGCATTTAAATTAGAGGTGCATCCTAAATGAGCCCATGTTTATTATTGGCATAAGGAAGAAATCTTTCTTCAATGTTCTCATTTGTCTGATTTCAAGTATACATAATGATCAGCACAAAGGGAATTGTGGGTATTTTCCATTGTATTATGGGGATGGGTAATTTTTCAATACATAAAAGAAGTCAGTGTCTGTATTCTTTTCTCCCCATTATGGATTATTTTGATATTTGTTCCCCCGGGAACTCTTGGGTTTTGATGCTGAGCTAGAAGCTCACACTCTGGCATCACTGGCTCCCAAGTCACAGCAGGGACTAGAGAGGCTTTTCAGACACACTACAGTCAGAAGCCAAATCCTGTGTAAATTACTCAGTCTATGGAGCATAGAAGACATCCTAAAATAACAAGATACAACCTAATTACTTCTCATTTTGTATTAAAGATTGAACTCAGAGCTTCCTGAATATCTCTTCTGGAAAATTTAACAACAGACCATAAACATACCTTCATCGGTTCGTGCCTCAAATATTTATCGAACATGTCAAATCTCCAAAGATCGCCTCATCATTGAGATGAGTTTACATACATGACACCTCATGCCATCTGCATATCAGTGTGTGGAGTGAGTAAGACAACTCTGCATGCTGGAAGGATATGCAGATTGAAGGGTAAGGCACAAAAAGAGATGCCGTGGGAGATGAGGTGCCCAGGGGACACCCCTCAGAGGAGGTGGTGACACTTGGTCAGAGGCCTGGATATAGTGAGAGAATAAAAGACATCACCAGGGGAAGAGAAACATTCCTGTTGAAGGGAACACCAGGGCAGAGGCCTGGGAAAAGCTGACTTTTACAACATGAAAAAGATATTCAAGAATCCTAAGGATTAAACAGGAGAAGTTTAAAAAAAAAAAAAAACCTAATTCCATTGAAACTGGAGCTTAAGCAGGAGTCTGAGCAAAGGGATATATTGGGAATATATATGGAGACACAAGGATTAGGGTTGAGCAAGGGTGTTATGCCATCTACACACACACACATATGTATATATGTATATATATATGTATATGAATTATTCTGGGTTTGAGTTGAAAGAATTCTCAAGAAGAAAGACAATGGAAGCAATCCAGACATCACAGGTTATAGTGAATATCCAGAAGAATGATGGGGTTTGGATCAGGGAATAGAATATCCAAGAAGAGTTTGGCCAGGGATGTATTTAGGAATGCACTGTGAACAGGGGTCTGGGGTGCACACTTGTGGTTTTATCTACTTGGGAGACAGAGACAGGGGATTAGAAGTTTAAAATAAACCTAGGTTTGTAGTTCAGGAGCTTGTCTCCAACTAAAACGTAAAATGAGGCATGACTTACCATAAATGAGGCTTTAGGCTCAAGCCTCAACACAACAAACATAAATATTGTTAGAATGTATTGAAAATAAACAGAAAGGAAACCTTGCGAAAGCAGAACTGACGCTTTCCTGTGAACTGATACTGTGTAAATGAACGATGAGGAATAATTCCAGAATTTTCCCTTTCACATGATCATGAGCTACAACGGACGATTGGTACAGATGACTGACGTAGTGAGCAGAACGTGACGCTGACAGTAAGCAGCCTACAGCTTATATTAAAATTCATGCCTCTCTATAAAACCAGGAAGGAACTAGTGCAGCACAAGGGGAAAGGACGGAGATGCTTCCTGTTCTAGGACAGAGACGAAGGGCAGAGTATTCGAGGGACGTCAGTGAGGAACGGGGAAAACCAGACCAAAGACTGAGCCTGACTTTGCCAAGGTCGTTGCTGATTTAGGACAGCAGCTTCTGTGTAAAACTGGGCAAGCGAGCAATGCCGGTGAACTCAACAGGACCCTGGAAGTAGGAAATGAACAAGCACAGAAAGTCCATCTTCCCTACATGCGGAGCAGCAGACTGATGTTAGAGTACCGTGTAGATTCAACATTCCCTACAGCACTGGGGCCAGTGGGTGTGCAGAGAGAGGAAGAGAAAAGGGATGGAGCCAGAGAAAGCCTTTGTGGCTGAGACCACAGGGTGCCTCAGGCTGGAGACTGGTGGGCCAGATTACCAGAGAAGGATATTCGCTTTCAGAGACAGGGATGCCATAGGAGGAGGCAAGGTGGTACACCCCGGCCAGATGGGGGCAGTCTTGCAAATCTGTATAAAACAAAAGCCCATTTTCATTAGAATTTTTTTTTTTTTATCAGTGAAGATGGAAGTAACGTTCTTACATTGGCTAGAGGCAGAGTTTATGGAAACCAGGCAAGAGAACTGTGAAATGGATCCAGGAACAGTGGCTACAGATTGCTCGATGTGGCCATAGTTGCATGATATCACTAACCAGCCTGCATGGCACTCTTTGCTTTCCATTCCCTACTCAGCTTCTTCTTCCTTTCTTTTTAAAAAAGGTTTATTTGTTTAGGCCTACAAAGGCTATCTTCATGCATGCCAGAAGAGGGCATCATATCACATTATAGAGGGTTATGAGCACCCATGTGGGTACTGGGAATTGAACTCAGAATCTCTGGAAGAGCAAGCAGTGCTCCTAACCGCTGAGCCACCTATTACCAGCCCTACCCCATGCTTAGTTTCTTAAGCATCAGTTACAAATAAACAAACATTTAGGCAGTTCAGTTGTTTTACTTCTTCTCTAGCTGGGAGTTAAGGGGCTTGAGAATGAGAAACCAGGGCACTCACGGTAAGGAACCACACAGCAACCCCGGGGGACCGTGGTGATACCTTCCTAGGTCAGTGGCTTGGAGTCCGTCTTGAGGAAGATCCAAGAAAGGTCAGAGTGATGGGTTTAAGGGACTGACCTGAAAGAGACCTGGTGATTAGAGAGTGGGTGTTTGACAGGGACACCTAGGAGCTTATAGAATGAGTGACATGTAGTCATGGGTGGGGCTGCCTGATGTTCGGGGGGGCATATGGTTTTAAGACACGGTCAAGGTGGAGCAGAGTTCATGGGCTGAGGAGAGGAGAGGGGGCACAAATGCTGCTGCCTGAGCTGAGCATCCAAGGCAATCAGAGGAAAGCGGGGCAGAAACCTGACACAGCTGGACCAAAGCGCACCTGTTGAGCCTCGGGCCCAGGCTGTGCTGGTTTGGAGACTGGTGGTCAGCACAGGAGCTTTCGGAAGTGCTATGGTTTAGGGAGGACCTAGGGTGGGCAGAAGCAGGTGTCAGGTCTAGTGGGATAATGGAAACCATGAGGATGAGGAGGGCATGAGAGCTGGGGCAATACCCTGAGCAGTGTAGGCACAGACGGGGAGAAACGTGGTGTGGGGGGTTGGGTGGCATCAGCCACAGGAAATCTGAACTGAAGGCAGAGTAGCAAAGCACTGATGTTTTTGTTGCATTTTAGCAGTTAACAACGTGTTTAGAATTAGGCAATTAGAAAAGAAGCAAGCTCACTTAGCCTCCTGGTAAGGAACCACGTGGGGAGGGCCAAGAACCAGGGGCCCCACCTGACAAGCATGAGCTGCCACAATTAGTAGCCTAGGGTCTCCAGAGAAAACTCATTTCCAAGGTGAAAATCAGTCTTGTCCTGAGCAAAAGGTATTGAATGTTAAACGCATAATCAACTTTTCGTGACCCCCACCTCCCAACATGGCCGCAGTGACAATCACTTGATCCACAGCCCTTGACAGTCGCCCTCATGTGATACATAGTGAATCCCCTGAGTCATGAAGAGACAGGGAAGGGCTATTCTGAGAAGACAGGCTAGCAGGCTGCGCAGCATGCTCAAAGTTTCCTCTACTGGTAAGAAACGGGTTCACCTGACATAAAGCCCACGTGTCTCAATGTTCAAACATTCCCCTGTCTTCCAATCAATTACTCTCTAAGAAAAGTGACCTTCACTGCATGGGCTGGTCTCACCTGGCCTCAGGTCTGGAGTCACATGGTTTATTAAAGAGTATATGCACCTCGCTGTGCACTTCTGCCAGCATGAGGCCTTTAAACTGGGCAGCTCTAACTCTTAACTCATTCCCCACCTGTGCATCAAGAGAACTAGGAAGGGAACCCTGCATTGGGCCTTGGGAATCCAGACCTCTTTAACCAAGGACCATTACGGCCTGGTGGTGGTGGCACATACCTTTAATCTCAGCACTGGGGGTAGGGGCAGAGGCAGGAAGATCTCTGTGAATTTCAGGCCAGCCTGGTCTACAAGGTGAGTTCTGGGCTTCAGCCTTGCTTACTTTCATGGTACGTAGTCCAAGGTTTTTATCAGCAGCGCAGTACCCTAGGGCATACAGACTTCAGCCCACTGTACGTATCCAGTGCTTCACTATGTTTTACTGGATACCTTTAACACCCAGTACCACCCTCCGTGGCAGAAAGAGATGATAAAGCACAGCTGCAGGCATAGCCCCTTCGATCTCGTGTTTAGTTCTGGGACCCCACTGCCATCATCTCGGAGCAGACAGGTGACTTTGCTGCCTCTTTAAGGTGTCAACCTCAGGCCAAGCTGGGGAGACATGAGAGTTGAGTCCCTAGGACTGGGGCATCCTTTGCTGGTGTATGTGGTGTGTGTTAGGTCTCTAGGACTGGGGCGTCCTTTGCTAGTGTATGTGGTGTGTGTTGAGTCCCTGGGACTTGGGCATCCTTTGTTAGTGTATGTGGTGTGTGTTGAGTCCCTGGGACTTGGACATCCTTTGCTAGTATATGTGGTGTGTGTTGACGGCTGTCTGTGCTGTCAAGCCAGGTCCCTGCTTTAGTCTCCAGATGGAACAATGTGAGGCTGGGTGCCACGACTTGCTAAGTAGCACTAGCTTTGCATTGTGTTGCTCTAACCACATCAGCGATCCAACTGTCTCCCACAATAACAAGACAAGGGAGGC